AAAAAAAAAAAGATGCATTTGATCCATAATAGGCCCTAAGCAGTGGGAGATGCGTTATATGGGGGGAGGTGGGGGGGTCATGGGAAAATGAATGACACTGGTACCACACAGTAGACTACTCACCATTAGCACAGCAAAGTTATTATGATGGGTGCAATGAATGGTGGTCGTGTTGCCCCCGGAGCCTGTTATGTGGCAGCCCTCTGCCCTCCAGCCACCGTGTCCATCCAGCAGGTCAAAATCCCAATAGGCTGCGGTGGGGTCTACACCCAGTGCGAAGTGCCTGAGAGCAATAGTAACGGAGTGCACAGCGCTCCCGAGGCTGCACCCATCTGCAAGAAGAGAGGGGGAAAAAAACACACATTCAGTAAAGCAAACCAAGTGGAAAGTCTGTAAGTGCTATGGCACAAAGATGGAAAAAATAAAAATCAAGCATGGACATGGGCGCACAAACTCCACACGCATGCACACACACATGCATCAACCGAGACAAGTGTCAGACAGTTGCTGCAGCGGGCAGACTGTTGTGTGAAGTGTTGCAGATAACTTTCATGTCAAATGGAAAAGCGAAAATCAGGCTTTTATTCGGGCACAATGCAGCAGCGGAGTGCGGTGTGGTGGAGCCATGCTGTGATCTCTGTCATTTAAATGCGTAAACAGCAGCAGAGTTTGGGTGTATTTTGGAAGAGAAAAAAAAAAAGAAAACATGCACAGAAGCCCTGGGTATCAACATGTTGCGCAGAGCAAAGCAGCAGACTGTGACTGTGTGTGTGCGTAAACATGTAGTCTGTGTCGGCATTACAGCATGCGTTGACATCACAGGCATGATGATAAAAATGGATTTCCTCTTACCTAATTTGGTGAAAGCAACTGGTGTTGAAACGCTCCTACGCTTCCCATCATCTGCGAGATTTGACGAATTCCCCGTGCAAGGAAAGAGTTTCCCATTGCGAAACACAATAAACTGCAGCTTGCAAGTGGAGTTATCAACAGATTGCAGCGCAGAGGAGGAGATAGGCGTACCAGCCAGCGGTAAATGGATTGAGGCGACTGCCACTGAGTTCTGCGGATGGAACAAAAAAAATAAAAAAAATAAAAAAAAGAGAGGAAAATAAAAATTAAATAATGTCTCCGAGATGCGCTGTGGGAGAAAAAAAATATATAGAGGAAGAAAAAACTCCTACTTAAAAAAAGAAAAGGAAAAAAAAAAAAAAAAAAGAGACTGGCAAATTGCTTTCCTCTCCAGGAGTGGAGGCGACCATGGACCGCAAGTGACCAAGGGAATGAGAATCACGTTTGAAGCGCTCTAGTGCGCCTATTTGGTCAGGCTCCCTGCCGCAGAGGTGGAAATGGTTCTTACCATTTCAGCTTGAGGGCACATCAACACTGCAGCTTGATTTAAAGAGACAACCGGTCTGACTTTATCCTCTTCTCACCGAAAATAAACACCGGAGAACCTCCGAAAAAAACCGTCCTGGTAAGATGTGGGGAGAAAAATAAAGAAGTTCTAGGAGAAAAAGCATGGCTAGGGAATGGCAAAGTGCAGGCACTCGCCATCTTTGAGTGAATCCAAACTGACTCTGCAATGTAAAGTTGCTTTTTATTGCTGTAACTGCGAGCAAGAAAAAGAAAAAAACAATCCCCTGTGCAGCCAAACCCCCCAAATCCCACCAGAGTTGCAATCAAGATCCACATTCCCTCTGCTCTGTTATGACCTGGAGCTGCTCACTTTGCATTCTGAACAAACACCACATTAGCAGACAGGATTCTCTGCCCATCCTGTCCCAAGGAATCCTGAGATCCAGCCTTTTGCAGCTACATGAGAACAGCTGCAGGAACTTTGGCAGGGCTCGGGCTTTAGTGAATTGACGCCCCTGGTGGACAGAAGTGTTGCTCAAGGGTGTGTGGATCAGTGACTGACTGCACTCAGAGCAGAACAGGCGGCACTTAACCCTGCAAAGATCAAGTTTAATCATAAAAAAAGCTTCCAGAGGGGCACAGTCAGCACATAAGAGCTGCAGCACACGTGTGGCCGCACACTTCGCTCTATGCATCAGGCGATAGAACTGCACCAGAACTCATGAATTAAATATCACGCATAAAAATAGACGGGAGGAACTATAGCGTACTTGCAAAGACAAATAAATACATGCGGTTCAAAAAGAAAAGGCTTCTGCAGACATTATCTCAGCTGTAATTTATTTAGAGAAGTGCTAATCTTCTGGTCAGCGACCTTCAACGGAGTATGAAGCACTTAAGTGTAGAAAACAAACTGCTACCTTTGTTGCTGATCTATTATGAAGTGACAACACAGAGGCTGTTCATTCAAATGAACACGACACCGCAGGCTATTAACACGTTTCTGTACCGTGAAGAGATTTCCAGGGAAAAAAAAAAAAAAAAGCAGGAAACACTGACCCCACATATTTATTCAGCGAGTGAACCTAATGCAGAATGTTAATGACGAGGCTGCTGATGATGCGTGTTCATAAAAAAAAAAAAGATAATGATGGTTCCATGCAGGGGCCCCCGCTTTCCAGCTCAGGTCGGCTTTGTTCAGCTTTCAATCACGTCGCCCTCCAGTGTGGGAGGATCAGCACTTTGAACCTACAGGGGAGGGAAGCTTCCTGCACAAGATAAATGTGGATGCCCATAAAGTGCCCTTACAGTTAATGGGGAGCTGCTTAGTCAGACGTATAGCCCAATCAATGGCGAGCAGGACGATGGCCAAATTTCTTAATCAAGTTATTTAAGAGATCCTCCGTCCATTCTTACGCCGGTTGTGGCGTTTGTTTAATGTGGGTGCCCTTGTGTTGACAGGCTTAGTGCCCTCCCTCCTCTCTCAGCGAGATACAAGTGTCTGGCTTGTTTTGATGCCTCCTGCTCCCTCTGTTCTCCTGGAGGATAATTCCATACAGGTGACAGAGAGCAACGGCGTGCTTAAGCGCAGTTCCTTTACATTACGGCCACCGTGTGTGCCGAGCCAGTGGTGATTTTACAGCATCAGCTTTGTTAGCTATTTCTTTCTGCATTGACTCACTCTTGAAAGGCTATTGATTTTCATCCTGCGGTGTGTGTGTGTGTGTGTGTGTCTGTGGGGAGAGGAAGAAAGACAGAGAATCCTTGCCTTGAAATTTATGTTGCATCATTTCCTTTCTCTGAACAGCTTAAGCTCGGCAGTCTGTTTCCAAGACGTCACAGGATACAGACATCAGGGGATGGAGTCGGAGAGGATTTGAGCCCAGGTGACGGTGGATGGGGGGGGGCGAGTTAAACGCGGGGCCCGGTGCGCCGTTCGAGGGGGGTCCCCCTTCGAACACGCCAGGTGACCTCCGTCCCCCCCCGGGGGAATGTTTTCAAAGCGTACAACTCACAAAAAAAAGAAATCTTATCTGGTGTACTTGTCTCCTCATCTCTTTCTACATCTTTTATCCCCTTTTATGTGACGTATCAAAGGGATTTACAGCCCAGAGGGTGTGCTATAAGCCACGGCGTTCGCGAGGTCCCATTCTAAGCAACAATCTATGTTCCTCCTGAGCAACCTAAACAGCTACACATCCTCCACCTCAACACCACCGGGGACCTCACACTTCAGAGTTGATTTAGCTGGTTGTACCTCAGCCGCCTGACCTTCCTTCCAAGCCCCTCCCTCTCTAACAGGCCAGCATGCTGTAGCCTTAGTAACCATAATCACACGCTCCCCTCCGTCTCCTGCACAAGCCTCGGGATCATTTTCCTTCTTTTTTTTTTCTCCTTCCCTCTCTCCCTCTCTCTCTCTCTCTCCACCTATTCCTCTCCTAGCAGAGGGCATCCAGGTGAATGTCAGCAGTCACCTCCTATTTCAGGCCGTTCCCTCTCGTCCGCCTCCCTCCATCCTCCCTCCACCTGCTCCTTGATGCACAGCCCTGCTTGATAGAGCCACAAAACTGCAAAACAGCCTGCAGGGCAAAACACAACAGCGGTATTTGACCCGGGGCAGTCACCAAATCACAGCATAAACATCACGCTTAAACATGGCTTCTTGACTTCACAGGGGGATTACTATTGAATGTGTTTAGACAAAGAGGTGGAAATTAAGAGAGCCAGAAAGTGTGTTTTTATTGTATAATCCAAAATTAGAAAGCGCTACAGCTCTGTGCCTTTGTAGATATATCTGTGGGAGAGATAAATTTATTTATTTGCGCAGGCGGCAACTTGAAAATTAACTATGAATGAAATGAATTTCGCTCAAAGGGCAGCTTGCTGAGCTCTGCCCCGGCCGAGAAGAACTGCTGACAAGCACGATGGGAGATTTGCATAATTTTTTTTTTTTGTAATCATTGGCAGTCCTGTCAGTGCAGACATGGTCAAAGGCACAATGACCATGACAAATAGGTAGACATCAGGAGGCGTTAGGGGGTCGTTCTAGCCATCATGTTTTAGAGTCTGAAAATAAACCACAGCTTGCTTGCATTTAGCAAACCCTTGTGCACAGGCTTGAGCTTACTTCAAGGTTTGAACATATTTGTGTGCCTGACATTAAACGTACAAACAAAGGAAACGTAATTCTACAAAAGCGATTGCCATGGCTGCAGCTTGAAAGGTGCTCCTCTCTCCAGCGTTTTTATGTTGTAGCGTTGTTAGCGTTACTTATCAAGACAAATTAAACGCAGCGCCACATGGTTGCCATGCCAACAGGGGTCTGTTTCCTCTCGATGGGTTTTGTTGGTTGGGGAGGGCGGCTGAGGTTGGGGTTGGGGGTGCATTTGAGCAGATTTGAAGCAGGAAATCAGGCTCTTTGGAGAGGCTGAGCGGTGCTTCAGCTGTCAGCTACACTCTCCTCAGTCAGCTCTGACTCAAACTGTCACATCACAGGCTTGTGGCTTAACAAAAACATTCAAGAGGCTGCAACAGATGGACAACATTGTCTGATTGAAAGGCTATTGTGGATTACAAATTAATGGAGTCATTGTGTGTAAAAGCATAACTAATTTATTAGCCGCAGGGTGATTGATAATGAGCCAAAAAGAGCTAAGTCTTTGAGACGGAGCTGATCTTAAAAGGAAAATCCACTGATTTCCAGCGTTGCTTAATGCAAATATGTGGCTCTCTGAGCAGAACTTCACTGGCCACTAAGGATTAGTCTCAGTGTCTTCTTGCCACGTCAGTGTGGCCACAATGTCCTTTATTAGTGACGGCAAGATGAGTGACTCAGAGGAGAATTTCTCCTGAAGAGAAACATTTTCATGCTGCACTGCAAAGAAACAGTTTGGACACACAAAGATGAAGAAAAAAAAAAACTTTCTACTCCTCTGAGTCATCGCCCACCAATTCTTAAAGGGTCAGTTCACCCAAATTACAAAACAACATATTCTACCTCTGGTGCTGTCCAGCCGAGCAGCTGGTTTCTGTTTTATGTGCAGAGATTTGAAGATATCCAACTCTAGCAAACTTCGAATGTTACTGACTTTTTTGATAGAAGGTACTTTCAATGGACGCCGTTCAACACGCAGTCTGTGGATTCATCAACGATGGAAGGAACGCAGTGTATGGAAAGAAAGTTTATAGTGAGACAAAATGTTTATATTTTAACTATAGATTATGTTAAATGACTACAATCTTTGCCTTTAACCCCAACGATTAAAACAACTGAGATACAGCTTTTTGCAGGATCAAATTTATGGTAAAAGATGGTGTTAGTAAGGTCAGGCTGAGACTTTAGTTACGGTTGATTAAAAGGAGAATGTGAATAGCAGGTCTGTGGCAGGACACAAACTCTGTTCTTCTGCATTATTGCACCACTGAAAGGGCAAACTTCATCCTGAGTGTCACTCAACTTTGGCATTGGAGACACTTCAGGATGCAAAACTGTCCAACATAATTGGACATAAGAAAAGACAGGTTTTTCAAATATACATGTAATATTAATGATGTTCGTATCACAAATTAGGAGCCTGTGATTCTGGAGAAAGATATTAAATCGTTAGCATATGCCAGATTGACCATCCGTCTCACTCCCACTGCCTCCTGTCCTCCCATCTCCCCTCCCTCAAAGCCACGACTGTGTACAGACATCAGCGAACA